TCATTAAGACCTTCAAATGTCTAACAAACGGTCCACATCAAGAGATTCAACATCGGCTGTCCATCCAACCACTCCCTATTTTCTCTTGATCTTCCATCTATTTACAGGTCGTGCCACTCCAAGAAATTTATAATTAGAGCCCCCTTTCCTCTTGGAAAGGGAACCCAAAACCTAAGGAGAAAAAGAGAGAGATCAGAGATCCCTCTCGCCTCCTTGCCTCTTTGACCACTGCCTGGAGTGTCGCCGGACCACCACTTATGGCCCTGAGTTCCGCTGGACCACCCCTTGTGGCCCCGAGTTCCGCCGGAGTACCACTTAAGGCCCCGAGTTTCGCCGGACCACCACTTGAGGCTTTGAGCTCCGCGGGACCACAACCCAAGGCCTTGAGCTCCGCGGGACCACTCGAGGCCCTGAGTTCCACCGGACCACCACTTGAGCCACTGAGTTCCGCTGGACTACCACTTGAGGCCTGAGCTTCGTCGGACCACCACTTGAGGCCATGAGTTCCGCCAGACCACCACTTGAGGCCCTGAGCTCTGCCGGACTATCACCCGAGTCCTTGAGTTCCGCCGAACCATCACTTGAGGCCTTGAGTTCCACCGGATCACCACTTAAGGCCATGAGCTCTGCCGAACCACCACCTGAGGCCCTGAGTTCCGCTGAACCACTTGAGGCCCTGAGCTCCTCCATACCACCACCCAAGGCCCTGAGTTCTGCAGGACCACCACCTGACACCTTGAGTTCCATTGGACCACCACCTGACGCCTTGAACTCCACTAGACCATCTCCTGACGCCCGGAGTTCCGCTAGACCACCATCTAACGCCAGGAGTTTCGCTAGACCACCACCGGACACCCAGAGTTCTACTAGACCATCACCCGACACCCGGTGTTCTGCCATACCACTACCTAACACCAGAATTTCCAAGTAACGCCAGACTTCTGACGGACCACCACGTGACGCCAGACCTTCATCCTGATTTGTCTCTAGATTTCAACCATACAGTTGACATTTGTAATATGATCGCTCTCAAGGATGATTCAGCATGTTGTAATATACTCGAATTTTAGTGGAATCATTTTCGACTGAGCCAGACCTCGTGGTTTTTCCCTTATCATGGTTCCACGTAAAAAATCTCGCGTTCTTTATGTGTGAGCTGGATATCCGTACAACGCTAAGACGTGTGATTATAACTTTATTGCCACATATATTCTGTCCCGCAACAATTATGTATATTATAATTTTCTCATCAACTTTAATAAATATTTAAGTATCATGAATTTTCAAATATGTAAAATGAGCTTCTCCAATAAAGTAGCAATTTTTATTACATAAACATATATGTGTTAATAAGCTATTGTAGAAAATTTCAAGCAAAAAAAAAGGGGGACCTTTAAACAATTCATAAAGTATAATCTAACTATTCTTAATATAATTAAGCATAATTGAGATGTAATTAATAAATTAAATGATAAATATGAAACTTAAGCTCACATAGATAATATAATAGCATTAATTCTCTTTTCCAAAATAAATGAAATTTTATCACATTATTACTAATTATTTTAATTATTATTGTTGGATCTGATGATATTTAATAGAGGTATGAATATGTTTAGGAGATAAAGGAATTTCTTGGCTTATAAAACTTTTTAATATTATTTGAAAAACTAAAAAGATGCCAGATGAGTGGAGATGAGTGTGTTAGCTCTTATTTTTATGAATAAAGGTGATGCACAAGAGTGAAAATTAGAGAGGAATTAAGTTAATGTGTCTTATATTGAATCTATGGGAGAGAGCTATTGAGCATAAGTTATGACGTGATACTAATGTTTCTCAAAATCAATTTGGATTAATGTTGGATAGATCTACCATGGAAGCTATACATTTATTGAGAGATTTGTTGGAGAAGTATAGAGAGAATAAGGAGGATCTACATATGATATTTATTGATTTAGAGAAAACATGTGATAAAGTTTCAATAGAAGTGCTTTGGATGGTTCTAGAAAAGAAAGGAGATAAATAATGCTTATTATCAAGTCATTAAATATAGTATAGTGTATACAAGAGCTTTCGTTTATGTTCAAGCACAAGGCTGTTTGACCAAGCAATTTCCTATTTCAATCAAATTACATTAAGGATCATCTTTAAGCCCATATCATTTTGCTTTAGTCAGGGATGTTCTTACTAGACATTTGCAAGAGAATGTATCATGGTTTATGCTTTTTTTTTATGATATTCTTCTTATTGATAAGACAAGGAGGGAGTTGAAGGAAAATTTGAATTATGGAGGTCAACCTTAGAGTCTAAAGGTTTCATTTGAATAGATCTATAACGGAATACATGGAGTGCAAATTTAGTTGTAATAGATCTAGTGGGGGGTTGTGACTTTGGGTGATTAAGTCATTAAAAAGAGTACACATTTTATTTATCACGGTTCTATTGTTCAAAATGATGGTGAAATAGATGGGGATATTATTACTAGAATTCAAGTCAGATGGTTGAAGTGGAGGAATGCATCAGACATATTGCGTGATAGAAAAGTGCCCCTCAAACTTAAGGAAAAATTCTATAAGTTGGTGGTGAGACTTCCAATACTTTATGGAGCAGAATATTGGCCAGTAAAAGAGAAGCATACAATTAAGTTAAGTGTTGCAAATATGAGCATGCTCAGGTGGATTAGTGACACATTCTTAGAGATAGAATGTGAAATGAGTATATACGTGAAAATGTTTGAGTAACTCAAGTGGCAAATTAGATTAGAGAGAGTCGCTTTAGATGGTTTGGTCATGCAAAATGTTGCCCTTTCGATGGCTTGGTTAATAGAGTAGATGTATTATATTTGACCTATGTAAGAAAGGTAGATGTCGAACTAAAAGGACTTGGTAAGAAAGTATTAGAAATAATATTTTTTTATTAGATTTAAATGATAATTTAACTTCTAACATGACACATTGCTGAAAAAATGATTCATGTGGCTGACCCTATATAGTGGGATAAATGCTTATTGTTGTTGTTTTTGATAAATACCAATAAATTAAATAAATATAAAATAGTTCCAAACAAAGTCACAAATATCATCTTTGATAAATCTATATTAATATAAAACATAATTTAGTTTAATTTTTGCCAGAATCAAAATGTTTGAGGGTTATATTCATTATTGTTGAGACTTTGGTCAATTCTACTTAACCAATTTATTTGAGTATATCCCCAAAACAATCACTATACTAATTAACTTTGGAAATTCATTTTTTGTCTTTGGTTTTATTGATTTTATCCATTTGATCATGTTTCCAAGTCACAAGTGCACTAAAGCTAGTGCTAGCATGATTATCATGTCCGTGGTTGCTCTTTAATTGAAGTTCATATAGAAATGCTTAGTAATCTATTAGATGAGACCACATAATGTTTGTTATCACACATGGTCATCTTGGCTTATGGGGTGAAAAAAAAACCTTGCCAAGTTTGATCATATCTACAAGTGATGTCATGATAGTTACCAAGTAGAAAAAAAATTTGAAGATCTTATTTGGCTCTACATCAATAAGGAGAGACTGGAAGGGGATGACCACTACATTAAGCCAATTTGTTATGTATCATTTAATATTCTCAAGAGTAGCAATGATAATGCATGTTAGTTAGAGGTGTACTCGGTTACATGGATATCCCCTCCATTGTGAATGTTTAAAACTTCATGATGGAGGTATCTGCTTACGTTAATATCCTCCATCGTAAATGTTAAGAACTTGAAGCTATCTTGATGGCCTACTATTATGTGGAGGATAAATTGGAAGAAGATAAGCTATTGGAGAAGAGAATCATAGAAGCCATGCACTAGGATGCTCTGCCACATCGACTATAAGAGATATATGGTCTCCAATTCTAAATGAAACATTCTTGAGAGTGAAACATTTTTATTTCCTTGTATTTGAATAGACTCATAGGAGTAAATCGCCTTTTAAAATGTAGCACCTCTTTAGGAGGATTGAGTCACTACTGAGAAGATTTTGTGTAGCCGAGAAGATTGATGAAGGTCGTGGGTATTAAGATTGTCAAGTGGATTACTATATTGAGCATTTCTTCTGTTGAGTGGATTGTTGATGATTGGTTAAAAACTTAAAATGCTTGTCTAGCATAACCATCAAATGTGGCATCACCTCCTTAACAAACTCTGGTTCTTGTAAATAGAACCTTGATTTCACATAATAGATTGCAACTATCAAACATGCCTCCTGCATAACAAGCTTCAGTTCTTGGAAGCAGATTCTTGGTTTCATGCAAGATATTATAACTATTTTCTCCAACTTTTTGAACAGCACCTCTGATCATGGGCTCTCCTCATCTATAAAGGGAATCTTTGGTTTCATATTGATTATTCTAGATCATTGAGGGAGGTTTTGGAGATAAAAGAGAGAACTAGAGATGTTAGTAGGGCATGGCAGTCTGGGGTGGGGTAGGTTCTCCTTGAATGAAATCAATTCTAATCCTAATTAAGAATCCTAGGACAACCTTTTTCCGTTACCCCAAATAGCTTGTCGGTCACAGTGGTTGAATTTCTCTTCTACTGTCTGTTGGGTGGCATCAAATTAGTGGTCAAGTCTGACTGATGATATCCTCTGATAATCCATTTCTTCAATCAGCAGAGTGACCCTTTTTCATTCATTTATTTCATCATAAAGGTTTTCTTTTGTGACTACTACTCTTCAGTCTCTCATATTAACCTTAACTTGTATGTTTTGCTAGTCCTTCTTTGTTGTGGTTCTTAAGACAAACCTTTGATCTCTTGTCGTTTTTTTTTTGTTGAATTGTTTTATGATGGACAAGAAATAAATAACAAACAAACGTGTTGTTGTTTATATTTAACTTCATAACTGATCCGTGTGAATGTAGTAATGGAAATAGACAATAAACATTTTCTATACCAGATCATCAGACTGCTACAAGAACGTTGATTACTATGCATATAGTTTTTATTCTTTTTTTTTCCCCTCGTTCAGCTTTGTGTAATGGCAAGAGATATGAGTATGAAGGTGAGGGTCGAAGCTTTTTCTGCTCTTGGAAAACTACAGGGCGTCTCAGAACACATGCTATTACAATCCTTGTCTAAGAAAATCTTGGGAACCCAGAATATTGAAAATACTTTTGTTGAACATACCCTAAGAAATTCTAAATTTCCTTTCTCTTCCTCAGCAGGAGCTTTTGTACATGGCATTGAGGATGAGTTCCATGAGGTATGACTTCATAATAGATGCTATACTATTGTACAATCCTTTGTTCACAGAAACTTGCATTGGGGATCATTTATACTTGTTTGATGGTGCTTTTCACGTTGTGCTTCTTGGACAGTTTGTCCGACTAAATTTATTTCCTTTCCTAAAAGGTACGGATGGTTGCTTGCAAATCACTTGGGACCCTCTGCATTCTTTCCATCCAGTTTTCTGCTGCTGCATTGGATTTAGTAATGGACATGCTAAATGATCATGAAATAGCTGTTCAACTGCAGACTTTGGAAACATTGTATCAAATGGCCGCAAATGATCGTTTGATTATTCAGGAGAAACATATGCATATGGTATGCTCTTGGTGTAATTTTCTTTTTTGCTTGTCTAAACTGTTTTTTAAGATGTGCACAATTAGGCGACAGATGAAAACAAACTAACCAATCAGATCTAGTTGGTTTCTATTTGTTTAAAGGCCATTGCTTCAGATAAGTTCAGATACTATATTTATTTTTTGTCTTCTTTCACTTTGGTTCTCTTCGGAAAATTTATTGGACCAAAATAGCTAAAAGAGGAGCTATATATATGTTGATGGCATTTGGAAGAATTCTTTGTTAATGCGTTTATGTAGCTCAAAGAAAAAACTGGTGCTGACCAAACTGATGTTTAACGATATAATTAGATTAAGTGGCTAAAATTAGGCTTCGAATGCAGTTCAGTCGCTGCTATATTGCCTTAAAAGCTACATGTTTAGAGTTGTTCATTGAGACAGCATATGAGGGACTTTTACACTTTTTTATAATTATCATCTTGACGGAATATTTAAATAATACAATATATGTAAAATGGTTAACTTCTATTACTTTAAATTGGAACAATGATTTGTTTTTGGAACTTGAAAAATATCTCAATGGTTTAAATAGAATATTTCTTTATCCTTTGTGAAGTTATGGTTGACTGTTTATGTACCATTGGAAACCAGAATACTTTAGTTTAAGCTTTGAGTGGATTTGGAGTTCATCCACTAGTGTTGCGGGCTTTATTATAAAGCTCCTGGCATTTCACCCACAGTGCATTACTGTAATGATTCTACATTACATGTTTCACATAGCGCCTAAAATTTGCCTCAAGTAATGTGTAAGCTTAATGGTTTTTTCCAAAGTCAATGAGTTTGAGCTAGGTACTTCTCATTGTTGTACCTAGATTGACCTCATTGATCCAAGCTCAGTTTAGTTGGCATGCATGCATGTTAGGCCAGTAGCCAGTCCTAAGGCATGGACATGATTGAGTTAGTCGATATGGAAATCATCTACAATGTATTACTGCTAAAGGTGTGAAGATTAGGTTTAAATTCAGTGCTGGATTTTCAAGGGAATTTATTGGAGTTTTGATTGATGTTCCCTAGAAGTGCATTATCATGTGATGTTCTGTTCAAAGTAAGATTTTTCGTTGTTGGTTATTTTTTATTATAGTCATGGTAGGCACTGAGAGGTTTGAGTGCAAGTACACCCTAATGAGTTTTTGTTAATGCTCCTACTCTTAGTTGTATTTGCTTAACTAGCTGTTGTGATAATTGAGCTCCGAATTTTCTAGAAATATTTGAGTAAATTTTTAGTTAAACAGAACCAAAAACTTTATATATATATATATATATATATATATATACCTTTCTCATTCATTTAAAAGGGTTGGCCTGTCAACCATGATAAGCTTTCCATACTGTGTGATATTCTCAGCCTTAGTGACTCGGCTTTCATAAAATGCAAGAGAGATGAGAGCATGATGACTGATGGAAATATTTTTCTTTCCGCTTTGTTGCTTACATCAAACTGTAGAGATACACTAAAAGTGACAGCAGCAATCCTACTATGCCTTCAGGGTGCATCTCATATCAATGTTATCTACTGGTTTGTGGTCCTGTTTAGAAAAATCCTTCATTCGGTCTCGACTAGAAAACTTCTTTAGGGTGCGTCTCATATCGAGATTTTTAATTTTATCTCAATCTTAAAAAACTTTAGTAGTTTTGTATAGCAAACTCAACTTTATAATAAGAGTGAAAGAGATACTAGTTCTTGGTTTTTGGACTTTATGGCAAAATATGGAACTTCACAATATTTTGATTACAAGTTTTTCATAGACCAAAGGAGACCTTAAAATACTTAACATATCTTCTAAATGGTAAGGGATAGTGTTGAATAAATAATTTAACTGATCTCCTGATGATGCTAGATAACCTTGAAGTTTTGCTCATACATTTGTTGTTTACGGCTTTTCATAAGATTTTGAAGTCATTTTAACCATTGTCTAGGCTATTTGAATCATTTGTATGACCATGGAATCTCGAGTTCAGCTCTTTGCACAACCCTGTTATAATGTTCATAAAGTTGCCTTAGACCGCAGCATATCAAATGTCTGCAAGTTTAGCTGAAACCAACACATTTCGGAACCTTTTTGAGAAGAACTTGAGCATTGTGGATGTGACTTTGAGATGCAAGAATGTGTATTGTAGTACCGTTAGCCATTTGTCTCAAACTTTCTCTTAGTTCAATCCTATGAAGTCAGAGTAGGAAAAAACGGGCTAAACCAAACTCGTTTTCATACATTTATGGGCTCATTATCATTATCATTCATGGTTAAAATTATTATTATTATTTTTTAATTTAAAATTTATTTGAAATGTTATCAGGATAATGATTCCTTCATTCCTTATTTAAGGTTTACTTTCTATATTAATAGGATCTCGTGTGTATAGATTTTCATTATTAATTGGATTATTGAAATTACAACGAATTCTTAAACATTTATTTTGACTCCCTAATTTTCTTGTCTAGAGAATTCAGCAACTTCATATCGCAAGGATTTTCTATCAAAAAATTTTGTATTCGTTGTTTTTGTTTTTTTTTTTCTATGTTTTCTTCTTATTTACTACTATGTTTTCAAAATTTTGTTTCCTACTCTTTTAATATAGTACCAGTTTTTTTTGTTGTTGTTTTGTTTTAATTTTTAAGCAAAGTATTGCTTTTTGCTTTATAATACATCAATTTCCTGCATCTTTAGTTATTTTCAATAATTGTTGACTGTTTTAATAATTATTGTGTTTTCGAAGATTTATCTAGTAATTTTTTTTCCTGGGCCTTCTTTCTTTCTTTTCCATTAAAATCAGACAAGAATCATATTCCACGTAAATTTACTCTTTCCTCACCCACCCCCTTCATTCTCTCTCCCCGCTCCTTTGAAAGTACACTGGAGTAAAAAAAAAAAAGAAATTCAAATTTTCTTACGCCATCTTAAATTTCATTTTCTGCATGCTTAAGGTGACTTTATTTGTCCTTAACTTCATGATCAACATACTATCATGTTTTCCCAATTCTTAATCAGGGAATTCCTCGTTTTGAATCCACTTCCGTCCTTCTAAAACTGCACAATGCCCATTCCTTTGGCTTACAATGAAGAAAATAAGGAAAATAGTGAAAAGGGAGAAGGGAAATAGCAGAGAAAACAAAGAATGTAAAAGAAAAAAAATGAAAAAGAAAGAAAAAAATTATAATAAATCTTTCCTTAATCAGCATTTTGGCTAACACTTTGCAGAGCGTTTCTACATCTTCTGAGAGATCTACTCGTCTTCTTCATCATGTAGGCAATCGATCTTGGCTGTTGTTTGGTTGTGTTCAATGACAATATATCATTTCCATTAAAAGTTGAGTGTTTTTCTTTTGTTAATTTCCTTAGTCTAGTGTCATGAATATTTCCTAGCTTTGGGAAATTCCACCTTATTATAATTAAACTGATTCTAATTTGAGCATGCCAATTAGTGAGGATACTTATTTTCCTGATTTTAGAATTTCCTAGATTATATGTGATTGATTTATAAAGTAGTGTTTGTGATGTAGAACGGAATTGAAGGCAATAATCTGAAACAATTCTTTTCAGGAAATCTGAAACAGTTCAGATTTTTCTCCCAAAATCTGAGAGGAATTTCAGCAATCAAGAAGCAGAGGAAGGGCACCGTTTCCCAATCCTGAGAGAAGTTTAGATTTCCCTCTTGAAACAAATATAGAGTTTAGGAGAGAGGATGTGGGCTTTAGAACTCAAATGAGGGGTTGCTTGTGATGAGAGATGGTGGGGAAAGAAGCAACCAAGAAGAGCCTTTGAAGGTCTTGGTCAGCAGCAGGTCTGATTTTCTTGCAAGGGAAGAGACAAATCCCCAAATACTCTTCCCAGAATCTGAAATATAGTTTCAGATTTTAACCAAAAATCTGAGAGAAATGCAGATTTCAGAGACCAGGAGAAAAACAGGTTTGAAGGGGGAACATGGGGCTTCGCTTATTGGTGAAGGATGACTGCGGTTTTGGAGTGGCTTTAATTCCCTTGAAGTATTCCAGCGGGAGAGAGAGAGGTTGGAGAGAAAACCAAGGTGGGAGCCTAGGGAAAATCGGCCAGCAGTAAAAGTGGTTTAAATTCTTTCCCAAGGAAGACAATGCATCAAGGGAAAGATTTTAGAAAAATTTCAGCAAGGGCCAGGCCGCATGAGGTGGTGGGAGGAATAAGAATTTATTTCCTAATCCTGAAGTCAGGTTTTAGGAAATAAATTAAGGCTTTTTGCTTTTGTAAAATTCGGTTCCTGAGATTGGGGAAATAGGATTGATTTGTTTCCAAACAGGACTTTTCCTTTTGGAATTAATCAAATAAAAATAGGCATGAGGGGATTTTGGCTAGAGGAGATTTGAGATGATTTGGATTTATGGCCTAAATGCCAGATTTAAGCTTTAGGAAATAATGCCCAACTCAGCTAATGGGGCCAGCAATATTAGTTGGAGGGCTGGGATTATGGAGAGCTTTAATTGAGGTGTATTATGGCTCCTAGATTTAGGAATTGACTTTAGAAAGTATTTATTTAAAATCCTTTTGAAATTTAAATTTCAAATAGATCTCGATAAGTACTTTCCAAAAATAGAACGGCAAATTAGGAAAACTTTTCAATTGTCAAATTTCATGAATTTGAATTTGACAGCTACCCAAGATTTGCTCACCCAAATTCAAATTGATTTAAATTAAATGCTTTCCTAATTGAGGCGAACTAAATTAGGAAATAAATTTTGAATTTCAAATTAAGTCCAAATGTCATTCACCCCAAATTACGAAACTCAACAAGGAAGAGGGAAAGGTGAGGCCGGCGGCTAGGGAGCCATGGCCGGCCGGTTTGGACGGGTGAGGTTGGTGGTGGGGATGGCCGGAAGGAGGGGAACGGTGAAGAGGATGAAGATGAGGACTAAGATATGACTATGAGGAGCAATAAGATGGATCAAAACAAAAACAAAAGATAGAAGGTAAAAACCGCGAGCCTTGGACTCTTCCGAAGATTGACGAGTGATGCTTTGCCCTTCTCCAAGGGACTTCAAGTCACGAGCCCAAACCTATCTTGCGGCTGGTGAAAACTCCAATTCCTTCCCATAGGAATCTCACTAACGCTCTCTCAAAAGAACACAATTGTGGAAAAAATTTTAATATCAATAATCCCCCTATTACAATAGCTTAAGGCCCTATATATAGGCCACAACATAAGAAAACTCAAAATACAAAATTGCCCCTTGGGCCACAACACCAACCTAGGGGTAAAACCAGAAATACATCAAATAAGAACTAAAATTCAGAAAAATAACTCATAATTGAAGATTTAAATTATAGCCGTCGATTTGCGACGCCTCCTATGATAGATGCGCCAAATCTTCGTACCGATGTCCGCATCAGTTTGTTTGATTGAAAGTTTTATCGATTTGTTCCATGCTTAATTGAATTTCTTATGTCTGAATTCTTGTATGCAAATGAGATTTCAAACGAGTGATTAATTCTAGATTTCATATAGGATTATCTTTTTTTGTTGCATTGCATATGTCAATTGTGATTAATTTTGTATAATCTTATCACCTTGAATTTTAATGTTTTAAGAGGTGAATGTGAAAGATTATCTAAGCTTGTGCGGAAGATTAAGCATATAGGGTATGCTGTATGAATCAAATTGACTATAATTGAAAAGAAATATGAAAACCTAGAAGATAATTTGATCAGTCTATTGGTAAGTTAGATCGACTTTGATGAAATATATGTCCTAAGGTTTTAGATGAACCATGTTAGAAATCCTAATCAAGAAACCTCTTGTGGTAGTCCTTTGCCTAATTACCCCATGGAATCCAACTCATAGGATGCCTTCTCCTCCCACTATAAGCCTTAAATAATTTAATAGAGGCCATGCTAGTTAATGCGCCTTCTAAGACTAGTGTAGAAATGCCCTTCATTAATGTCAAGATGTCATAAATGCTTGTCTTGTTTTAACATAATATTATAACAGAAAAAAAAAAGTGAGTGTGCATCAGACAAATTTAAGGAATTATCAAACTAAATGTTAGAAACTAAAACATAATTCAAGAAAATATGATGACAGTTGAAATAATTCGTCTCATAAGTGATGATATACATTGTGAACTCTTAAGTATGTTGCCTATCTTGTAGCATTGTGAATTTCGAATAGTGATGATAAAATTTTTCCATCTTTCTGCACCTTGAAAACATGATATTAAATCTTTTATCCACTTGGCCTTCAATAGATGATACACTAACATTTGACTCAAAAAGCTAATCAAAATCCGTGGCAATGACATTCTTGGTTTGAAGCTTGTCGAGCTTCTTTGATAGCTGTTCATGCTCGTTTAAAAAACCCTTTTCAAGCTCAGCTCGTGTTTGGGTTCGAGCTTGTTAATTTTAAGTTTGCCTAGCCTCTAATCGAGCGGCTCGTTAAACGAGTTGAGCCGGCCTATTCAGATTTCATATATATATATATATATTAAATCCTTTAACGGATTGGTCGTTCTCAAAGTTGATGTCGAATGACGGAGATCGAAGGATGTCGATGAACCCTTGATCATCAAATACGAAATCGTGATCACGTTCAGGATTGGCCATTCATGAGTAAGAAGGCCGAGAGAGGTTTTGTTTCTTCTTTCTCAGGTGAAGTATCAAGCATGGGAGAAGAGGTGTAGGGGAGGAGGGGGGAACTAGGGTGGTCGGCCAAGGCTAGGAGAGGGGCTGAATTTGATTTCAGATTTTGTGGATTGACTATGAAGGGAAAGTAAATTAAAAATTTGAAATTTAATTTCAGATTTAATTGGGAAGTGGATTAGAAATTTTGAAATTTGAATTTCCAATGCAAAAAGGGAAATAGAGGAGAGAGGTGGGGGGGGGTGGGCTTTGATGAGGGGGGATTAGGGTTCCAAAGGAGAAAGGGAGATAATGTAGGAGAGAGGGGCCGACGGCTTGCTTAGGGGATTGGGGCTTTAAGTGGAGGAGGAGTTAATGCTTGCTTTATTTAAAATTCTAACATAGGAAAGGTTGTTTTGAATTAAATCATATTTAAAATTCAAATAGACATGATTTAAGGGACTTTACTAAAATAGGTTTCCTCATTTAGGAAATAAAATTCAAATTCAATTGAATATGAATTTAAATAGTTAGAACTTTAAATTCAAATTCAAATAGACATGATGAGGGGGGATTAGGGTTCCAAAGGAGAAAGGGAGATAATGTAGGAGAGAGGGGCCGGCGGCTTGCTTAGGGGATTGGTGCTTTAAGTGGAGGAGGAGTTAATGCTTGCTTTATTTAAAATTCTAACATAGGAAAAGTTGTTTTGAATTAAATCATATTTAAAATTCAAATAGACATGATTTAAGGGACTTTACTAAAATAGGTTTCCTCATTTAGGAAATAAAATTCAAATTCAATTGAATATGAATTTAAATAGTTTACAGAATTTAAATAGTTTCCAAAGTTAAAAGAATCTAAATTAGGAAGGGTTTTGAATATTAGATTTTGAAATCTTGGAGCCAAGGAAGGGTGTTGGCCAGCAACTTAGGGAGGAGGAATATGGTTAGGTCGGCGACTAGGGTTAGGATTAGGAATTGAGATTTGGGCCGGCGGCTATGGGCAGGGAAAGAGGCTTTGGACCGGTGGCTAGGAGGGAGGAGGGTGGAGGTCGACGGTTAGGAGGAAAAGATAGGGAGCTTGACATCTTGGGGAGAAGAAAAGGGAGGATCTTGGTGGAGGAGGTGGATCACACACCCGGATGCTTCTTGTGGTTGGTGGGTAGTACGTTGCCCTCACCTAGGGACTTCAAACTCTCACAAGAGCTTTCAAACTCACCAAAACACAAGTGCATGAATTTTTCATAATAATAATCATCATCATTCTCCCCAAAGAGGAGGGGCTATAAATAGTCAAATACAATAGTAAAATTAAAAGACAAAAGTACCCCCTAGGGTCACATGAACCTACTCCCTCAAATGAGGGTAGAAACAGAAAAAGGTACAGTAAGAAATCAAATATAAATAATATCTTAAACATTGGGTGGTGTAATCATGGTCGTAGATCTCCAGCCTCTCCTATGGTAAACTCTCCTCTGTCGGATGTCCTCATCACATTATCCAAATAGTTCTTATTTACTTAACATAGCATGACAAACAAAACTAATATGTCAATTATGCAAAATGGCGTGCGCCATGACACAAGGCCCAAAATGGCGCGCACATATGACGCTATTTGCTTGGCGCGACACGACGCTTCAAAATAGTTCGCATTATCTGCACCGTGCATGGGCAAGTTGTATGCCGCAAGGCGCAAATAGTGCGCCCAATTTTGTTAACATATTATAAATTAGAAATTATTAGTTATAATTAATTATGAGGGTTTGTATATTAATATCATAATTAATTAAACATCAAATTAATAAAATATCAAAATCTTTTAAAGGTTTTAAAGCTGCCATTTTTTACTATTTGGCATAATTTAAGCCAAATTATGCTTAAATCATACTCAAATTTATTGATGTAAGTTTTTGAAGGATCTAAAGTTTTCATTTTTCTTATTTGGTGGGATAGTTATGGTTAAATTTTGCACAAATTAACCTATTGTTTGCTATTTAATAGTATATATATATATATATATATATATTATGCATGTATATTAGATTATTTTATATTGTGCGTCATATTTAAAATGACGTGAAACACGCCGTGCACTTTGTTATGACTCCACGGGAAACTTTGCGCCTTGGTTCGCCTTTTGCCGTTAACAAGTACGTGTCAATCATCCTTTTAACTGTTTCCAAGACTTTCTTCCATTAAGTGTATGTTGGTTGCACTTGATCTAAAATTATCTCTAGTCACTAATTAATTCCAGATGTAAACTTTTTTTTTCCTGCACGATTATTTGATAGCCTTACTTCAAGCTATCACTATAAACTGTTGAACATTGTACCTCCGATCACTTTTTTATCTCGTTCAAATGAAGGTTTCTTAAGCATGTCATTTTTAAACTCTATCTCTAACTTTTGCTAATTAATCTGTTATCTTTACAGTTTCATGGTTTGTTAAATAACGTCAACGCCATAACAGATTTGTGACAAGACAACTCGTGCATCATTATCTGATAGCCTTAACAGCTTGATACTTTATTTTCCTATCACTATACCGTTGAAAAATGTACCTCTGATAGCTTTTTTTCTTTTAAGATTTTCAAATGAATCATGATATTTATGTTTATTGTACTAATGGATCTTAGAGTCTCTTGAATCAGGTTGCTGATAAATTTCGTCTTAACTCTATCTAATTAATCTGTTTTCTTTACAGTTTCTTGGTTTGTTAAATGATGTCAATGCCATAATCAGATTTGCCACAAGAAAACTTCTGCTGTTAGTGGAGTTTCCTAAATTTGAGATATTTAAAGCAGCAATAAACTCTATTCTCACAAACTTGGAGAGACATCCGGAGGTAATTTCATCTTTTCAGTTTAAACATTTTATCTTCTATCATGACATCGATGCTAGTAGGTGTTGGTCACAACTTTTTAAACTCAGGTATCCATGCAATTTCATAAGCTCATTCTAAAAGTCTTATCATTGTTTCTTATTTATTAATTTATTCTATTTCAGGAAGAGGAAGATGTTTTCTTTATTTTGTTCTGTATTGGCATAAGTAATGCAAAATTAGCATTGAAGCTAGCAAAGGAGTTCGTATCATTGGTAATATATCTGTCTTCTATATTTCAATTAAGAGATGTGCTGATTTGGTTGAAATTCAGTGTCGCGTGATGTGGAATGCCTTTTTCTTACAACTCTGCTTTTCATAGCTCAAATGAAAGTCAGGATTGGGAAAAAGGGCATACACGAAAAAATTATTCATTTCATACTTTTTTCAGCTAAAAGTTTCGATCAATTTTTCTTTCTTTTCTTTGAAATTGATAATTGCGTAGTTTATGATTTAGTTTAATCCTCTGTATGTAGTGGTTAAAGTTTGAATCTTATGACATTCAATTACAGAACTGCATGGTACTAGAAATCTCCTGAAATTCCTTTGTTGATGCTGGTTTTTCTACTGAAAACTTTAAGATATTTATAGAAAATCTGATTAATGTTCCAGTGGAAGTGCAAAGAAGATTGTTTTTACTCTTTATAGCCTTCATGTGATCGGGAATTACTGAATTTGTGTTTAATTGGATGACATTCCGTATATTTGTTTTGAAAGTGTCAGCTGTTTGCTTCATATTCTTCATTCCCATTGGAATCAGTATTGGAGAAGTTGGAATGATTTTTATAAATTTTGACGATAGAGATCATCACCATTTATTCGTGCCAAAACTCACTATTTCATGACTTGCTGCTACTTTTTACTTTGCGAGCTCTTCTTTCTATTTTTGCTAGGTAATTATTTTTAACGTTATATCTTAGAGTGATCCTCGTTATTCTTAGGATTATATTCTCAAAAAAGACATGATAGATAACTAGCAAGCTTACTAATATATCACGAGTAATAATAAGAGTTTGAGACATGGCTATATGATCTTGAGTATATGCTTCACGTTGATAAAATAGCACGATAATATGCCATCACAGTGAAGAATGAAACAAAGTCCTAAATTTTAGAGTTTAAAGTAGGTTACGCTAAATTTTAAGGTCTACATAAATGAATTCGAAAAAGTAGTCAATCAAACAGTTTTGGAGGACATCATGCTGGTAAAATTTTACTTGTACATATGTATTGAATATAAAACGACAAAGATATGACAATATATAAAAAAGAAAAAAAATGAAAGATAAAAGATGCATAAACATAAAATTTGAAAAACTTACATGCAACATAAGAATTAGTTCGCTCTTATAATAATTTGATGTAGGACAAAACTGAACTGGATCTATAGAGAATGAACAATGTGTAGATGGCCTCTACGAACAATCCTTCATCAAGCTAATCTCCTCAATCTCAATCACCTTTCTCCAAAGATGATAAAATAGGAGTCTAACAGTCCTTTGCCATGAATATATGTTTTTGGTCTTGAATATCTTTTTTATGGATTGTTTGTCACTGTGAATTAGATCTTAAAGCATAAGATATCGTTAAGATATGTGAAGCTTAATTTTCCTATATTTCTCTTATATAAGTTGATTTCAAAGTCATTTTAAGTCCATGATAATTCTAGATACTATATGGGCCAAATTTTGGTTTTAAGTTTTATGTTTGGTGGATATCAAATTTAAGATTCTATTTGCTCATAATCCTCATATATTTACCACCTCTTAGCATTATGTAAAGGATTGTTGCATATTATTGAAGAAGATCGTTCATTCTTCTCCTTCATTAGCATGGTGTAGAGGCGTAGAACCAATTGGTGGCTTTTGAAGTAATCGTAGGATAATATTTATGATGTAGGACATACATGAAAATTTAATTTAGATAAGGATTTTGCACGTTTATTGAGTAAGAGCTAATTAATTAAAGCTTTATGATGATTCAAACAATGAAATAAAACCAAAGAGCGGTAAACACAAGCTTAGGCTAAGTTACTCGCGAAAAGTAAAAATCTCATAATAATCAATTACTCTTGACGTTACATACGAGATGGGTTTCAACAAGAAATCCCTAATCTAACAATAAGAGTAGTGCTATAAAAGATCTCTCACACACTTTCTACTAAACAATAAGCTTTAGCGGAGCGTTGCATGATTTTGCACGAATCAATCAAAACCACAAATAAGGATCAATCGAGGAAGGTAAGAGAGAAGGTAAGAGTTCACCTCTTGCTAAGATTCCACCTTCTCGGAAGCTTGGGCAGCAGTTGGTGGCTTGATGGCAGCGAAACGGTTGATCTCCTCTTGCTGGAATTGATGGTGAGCACTGTCCTTCTTGGACAGCAGTTTTGAAAAGGACTCCCATTGGTAGGGAGGCCAGGGGAAGATGCAAGAGTTATTGTACAACAATTTTCTTAATGCTGAAGTTCAGGACTGCAGCCAATCTTCTTCTGGATAGCAGTGGGGTTGGCTGAAATTCTTGGACAGGTTGCAGGTGGTGTCTAGAAAATCTGGTCAGCACTTGGAAACTTCAGGATGAGAAGAGAAACTGAGAGAAGAGGGCTTAAAGTGGCCGGCTAGGGCCGAGGGGGATCAGGGAATTGTTTGGAGACTTAATTTAGGAGAGATTAAGGAGATAGGAGACAAGTAGGGGCGGCTAGATGATTGGAGCTTGATTGGATTTAAATTAGGAAAGGGTTTAATGGGAAAGGGAGGGCCTGCGGAGTTTTGGCCAAGAGAGAGGGAGGGAACAGTTGAATTATTTCCAAGAATATGGCTTGGCTTTTGGAAAGAATTCCAAAGAGGAGAGAAATTTGAATTCAAAGACCAACTAAATTAGGAAGTTTCCAAGAGAGGCAAGAGGGACTTAAGCTGGCGGCTTGAATGGGATTGGGTATGGGTGGCCGGTGGCTTGGGTTTTGGCTGTGGATGAAGGTGGTGGGGTTTGGGCTTGGCCGACGGGTGGAGGTGGGGGTTAGGGTGGCCGACGGCTTAGGGATTTCGGGGGAAGTCTAGGCTGGCAGTTAGGAGAAGAGGGGAAGGAGAAGAAGAAGATAGAGAAATAGAACCACGAACCCGACTTATCTAGGTTGGTGGGTGATGCGCAATTCTTCCCTCTCCTAGGGATCTTTCTCCATGACTCTCAAGCTCTCATGAGAATTCACACAAGAAAATAATATTTGATTAATCATTCATTCATTTATTAATCCTCAAAGAAGAAGAGGGGGCTTTAAATAGCCCATACAAAAATAAAAAGTACTATAATGCCACTAGGGCTTACACATACTTAAGCCCTTAAGGGCAAAAAAGGGAAAACATAATAAACTTCATAAAATAAAAAAAAATAATACATCAATCATAAATATGAAAATAATAAGTAGCGTGATGTAATCGTGGCCGTTGATCGACGATCACGCCTCTAGTAGATTTTTTCATGTCTTGATGTCTTCATCAATTTATCTTGATAAAGGCCACTGGAGAGCTGTATGTGATAGTTGGAAGCAGAAGAGGAGCACATTAGTATTTATGTTTTTCCTTTCTTTGTTCTCCTTTTGATGTTTAACGCCATTCTTCTTATGTAATCTTATTTGATGAATCTTATTGCATATTTTGTTATGTAATTTGGTCTCTTGTATTTTACTTTGCTTGTGATGCAGTTTTTATTGCCACTCTTTGTACTCTTTTTCATTCACTAATATAATATTTGATGCTTAAAAAAGGTGTGTTTCAAGCTTTAGCATGCTAATAGCGATTTTTGCACTTAGCATCTTCTTTATCTTTTTTTCTTATTTATCATCAATAATAATAATAATAATAATAATAATAATAATAATAATAATAATAATGATAAATGCTCAAAATAGTCCCCCAATTATTAATATGTGGCCAGTCCTAGGCTATTACCTTCCTCCAAGTTAATTCCTTGATTATGGAAAATTGAATCCAAAGTTAAATTTCACTATTAAATTTAACACTAAAGTTAAAATTAGAGGTATTTTAGGTACTGCAAGTATATCTGAATCTCTGTTTAAAATTGAGCAATAAGAGGCGCGCCTCTGCGCAATTTGACCCAAAACCGCCTCGAGGCTTACGCAATTCCTCTCCTGGCAGAGGCGTACGCCTCACTTGAACTGAGGCGTGCCTCAGAGGCGCAATTGCGCAATTCTGGCTGAGGCGTACGCCTCAAATATATGCTTAGTATCGCTCAGTATATGCTCGGTACCGCTCAGTATATGCTCGGTATAGCTAGGTATTTGCTCGGTACTGGTAGGTACATGCTCGGTACCGCTCAGTATATGCTCGGTACATGCTCGGTATGCTCGGTACTGCTAAGGTCGAACCCCGCCAGGGGGCAGCGCCCCCTTGGACCCCCGGCTGTCCGACATATTGTTATATTCATCATCTTTAGTAATAGTTGTTAGTGTTAGTCTACTTGTTCATGAGTGTATGCTTTGATTGGAAGACATTGGACTCTATAGGAGAGGAGGAAGGGGTGAGAAGATTCCCTTGAAGACCCATTTAGTGATGGGACATGATTGTATTATATATGTTCTTTCTTAATTGTACTTTGGGAGTTTTGATAGACTAATATTTTTTGTTTTTGTACTTTGTGACATGATTTTATTGCATTTATTTTATTATTTTCCCCTAATTTTAATTGTCATTTAGATGTTTTTATTGTATGATAGAATCTTACTATTTTTTACTTGCTAAAACCCTTAAATTCTCATTTACGCAATTCTTCGTCGGTGAGGCTTACGCCTCACACCGCCTCGAGGCTTACGCCTCGCCTCATGGACGAAAAACGCCTCGAGGCTTATTTACGCAATTTTAAACCTATCAAATCAAAATTAATGTTAAATTATTTAAATTAGTATATTTTTAGTTAATTAATATTAATTATTTTTGTTTAATTTAATTTTTTAATTAATATAGCTTATGTAATTAATATTAAATAATTTAATAGTTTTAAATATGAAACTTTTCTTTTCCTCCCCAATTTCTAGAACCCCTTGGTGACAAAGAAGCGTGGAAGTTGCGATGGGAGCTTATTGGAGAAGACATTGATAAGAGTAGAGATGGGTGAAAAAGAAGATTTTGGGAGATTTGTCACGTTTATTTAAATGCACCTACTCTTAGGGTTTACTGAATCCTGCTACCAAATAGGTCCTTCGTGCCCAAGTTACGCCACAACTTTCGGGAAGCTCAATCGCGCACCCTAGTTCTTATGTGGTCACACCTCTCGGCTCAAATCACGCTATTCGCATGCCCTAATACGTTTACAAAGTTTCTTTATTTAAATATTTTTATAAATGAGTCTTAAAAGACATAGGAATTATAAAATTCTTTTTCATAAAATGCATTTCTCAATTTATAAGACAGAGTAAGTAGCTGACCTTTTCGTCAATTTGATTTGTTTATTTAGTGGGGGCACTAAATGTGATCAATTTTGAGAATTGAGGGACTGATTTAGAGCATTGATAAACTTTTGGACTAAATTTACTATGTATTATTAGTCTCATGATTATTTTGGACTTTCTCTTTTGTAGTAGTAGTAGTAATAGTAATAATAATAATAATAATAATAATAATAATAATAATAATTTGTATTTCTTGTCTATGTTAGGGTAACTTCTTGATGAGGACATCCGATAGTGGAGAGTTTACCAGAGGAGAGGCCGGAGATCTACGACCATGATTACACTATTCTATTTTTGAGATGTTATTTGTATTTGATTTATTATTGTACATTTTTTTTTTCATTTTTATCCTCACTTTTGTATTTTTATTTTTACTATTGTATTTGACTATTTATATTTCCTCCTCTTTGGGGAGGGTAATGATGATTATTAAAAAATATATTTCACTTGTGTTTTGGTGAATTTGAGAGCTCTTATGAGAGTTTGAAGTCCCTAGGTGAGGGCGACGTAATACCCACCAACCGCAGGAAACGTCCGAGTTTGTGGTCCACCTCCTCCACCAAGTTCCTCCCATTTTCTTCTTCACTAGCCGCCGGCCTCCCTCTCTTTCATCCTAGTCGTCGGCCCAAAAGCCACCTCCCCCTCCTCCAAATCGCCGGCCCCAAGGCCACCTCCTCCTCCCCCTCCTCCAAGCTGCCGGCCTCAAGGTTTCTCCCCTCCTCCTGGTCGCCGGTCCAAGCCCCAAATCCCTCCTAACCGCCGGCTCTCAAACCTTTAACCCTAACCCCAGCCGCTGGCCACATCATCCTTTCATTTGCCTCCAAAATTCAAACCCTAAGTTGATACTTCTTATTTATAAAGCATCTTAAATTAGGAAGGGTCTTAATTTCAGATTTCAATCTATTTTGAATTTGAAATTCCTTCCTAAAACAAGATAACTTATCTTAGGAAAGTTTCCCAAATTACACCAATTTAAATTAATTAGGGATTTGCCATAATTTCCCACTTAATTAAATATACCTTGTTTGGTAACCCATTTATTCCCCTCCCACATCACCTCTCTACTCCCATACCCGCCGGCCTACCCCTCTCTCCTCCCACTAATTCTTCCCTTTAATGCCCCAATCAAATTCTCTCCCATTAAGGTGTGCCACCCCTCCCTATCCCCAATTAGAGGAGATTCAAATTCAAACTTTTCCCTCCCTCCGAAACACTAAAATCTGAAATTAAATTTCAGAATTTTAATTAACCCCCTTATGTTAACCACGTACCAAAATTCAGAAGCTCATTCCCCTCTCCTAGCCTTGGCCAACCACCCAAGTTCCTCCCTCCTCCCCTACACCTCTTCTCCTATGCTTGACACTTCACCTAAGGAAGAAGAAACAAAACCTCTCTCGGCCTCCTTACTCATGATTGGCTGATTCTGAACGTGATCACGGTTTCGTATTCAACGACCAAGGTTCATCGACATCCTCTGGTCTCCGTTCTTTGACATCAACTTTGAGAACGACCAATCCGTTGAAAACTACGTAGAGAGGACCCTCTTCTCTCTCATCACCGCTATCGACCAACAACACCCTCCCGTTCAGTGTCGACTTACCTCCAACTCCTGACAAAGGTGAACTCTCCTTCAAGTCTTATCTCTTCTAAGTTTTCTCTTAATTGTGGTGTCATAAAGGTTATGTGAGCTTTCTCTGTTTTCACCAATTATTAAAGAGTTGAGTGAGGGATTTTACTTAGTGACTAGTCTAAATGTTAACATTTGGATTTTCTTTGAAAACTTTCATGTATATTGCAAAGAATTTGAAGATATTATTTTGTGCTCCTACGATTATCGTGTAACTAATTGCCTAATCTATTCTTCCCTTTATTGTTTTAATCTTTCATTTAAAATTGCTAGAAGTTGATAATTGTGATTACTCTGCAATAAACGGGTAATTTCCTACTTAAAATCATTTCATGCATTTAGTTCTACATCACTTCTATGTTTCCTGTCAAAGAAATTATGGCCAAAGTATAAATTGCACCATGAAACGTTGGGTTCATTTTCTGCCAAACAAGTTGATTTTAATTTTGCTTTTTTTGCAAAGCAAGTGGCAGTCTACTAACGGTTTCTTGCATATACTCCACACTACTGTTTCTATTACAATTCATAATGAAGTTAGTTCCCTTACGGTGTCATCCTCGTTTCAGGTTCAACCATTCAGTGCGGGAGAACTGATCTTGGATACTCCATGGGCGGCTGGACATTTGGTGCTTATTGTCTCATCAACTTTTTCCAGTAAACAGAAAATTTCTGATATTCCAACTGTTCTGTTTTCTTATGCAGTTCCTTTAGTGGGAAGAATCTCCCGGTCATTGGGAGGTTTTGTTAGCCAATACTTTCTTTCGGACTATCTTTGTCATCTTAGTGGAGTTCATTTTTCATTTGGAATACCCATGTTTGAAGAGACTAAATTAACTGCAATGAAACTTGAGGAAACTCTTGCAAATTCTTTGAAGTGTGGAGACAAGCTATGCAACTCATTGTTGCTTCTTCATGATGAAAATTTGAAGAGTAAGTGCAAGGAGGATAAGTTCGACAGCTGTCAAGTATCAGCTTCGTCTGAACTATTTCTCCAGAGAAAAGGAGTAATTGATGATAGATCGACTCAGAGTGTTAAGTTTATTTTGGGAAAAGTGCAAGAAACTTGGCATCTTATTCATTCTCATTGTGGTCTTGTAGCACTAAGGATCCTCAGGTCACTCTTTTCACAGTCTCTCTTGAATGGATTAATAAAATGCACTTTCTCCTATTTACTGTTCATGGTGCTATACAATCATTTGCGCATTAGATTTTGCTGTATTAAAAACTATTTTTTTATTAAATAAAATGAAACAATGTTTTTTGAAGTGATTCTTTGTTTGAATCCAGGGCTTGCAAGGACGAATTGGATTTTATTAATTTGGATATCAATGGATCTGGAGCAGACTTTGTTGAATTTGGACTGGAGTATGTACAGGTTATCATGCTGTTTGCTGAAATCTGGCAGCAAATTTATGCAAAGAATTTCCGAGTGACTGCAATGGCGGCACTGGATATTGTGATAGAAAAGCTTGATGTATCTCTTAGACGACTTAAATATTGTTTCTTGGGTTTATCAATAGAGGAAGAATGCCATCTTTTAGAGCTGATCTTGCTTAGTCATGTTCTTCGACTGCACAAGTTTCAAATCTATTCGCATGACATATTGATGAAAATGGATTCCACAATATCTCGTTTACAAATCCTTTGCAAAGAAGGATCAAATATATCTGCTTTTATTAAAGAAGTAAAGATGTATTCTACTGAAGAGGGCACAAATGAATGCTCTCGAGAATTTCCTGTTGACAAGTTGCTTCAACTCTTCTACCTAAGACTGATACCATTCTGTGGGAAGTTTAGGCACATCAAAGCTGATTTGACCGCCATTGGTAATAGCTCTGAGAATCCTCTTCACTATGTTTCTGGGCTTCCCGTTGGCATCACATTTGAAATTTCTCTATACAATACCTCACAAACGGAGAGAGTGTGGCTCAAATTGGCTATTGATGGTTCGTTTCAGTACATATTTTTAGATCTTTGTAAATTTAGAGAATGTCATGAAGTGAGAAAAGGCACTTTGACCATTCCGTATTATACAGCCCCAAGAGCAGCATCATTTGTATTAAAGGCTTGTATATGTATAGAGTTTCCTGTTGGAGATTTCTTACATCTGAAGAGAAAAGTTGGAGGACCAAAACATGATAGCATTCGAATTTCTCAGGAAGTTGATCTGTACTTTGTAGGGATTAGGAGCTGTTGATGTGTAAAAGCAGTTTTGCATGAATTCATACCATGATATGTGTTACGAACTAGAAGCCACCCTTGCATTGAGTTGGTGGAAGGAACTAATCTAGCTGTTCCGGGTAAAAAGGCAATAACCTTAAAATCAAGGCACAGCTTATCTGAAGCCAGTCAGTTTTAGTCTTTGTTTGGGATGACTTTTTAACTGCTTCTTAAAGCAGCTTTCGAGTACAAAAATTTTAACTTTTGTCTAGAAAACTGTTTTAAGAAGCGGTAAGAAAGCCATCCCAAACGAAGCCTTAGAGTGATAAATTAGACTTGACGAGGTGCATTTACAACTTAAATATTTTTCTTTTCATGATGATCTGGTAAATTGACGTCAACAAATGAAGGATAAATTTCCAATGGCTGCATGGCTCGTTGTTATACATGAGCTTTAATTGGTTATATTTGAGGCTGAAAAGTTAGATTTTCATTGATGCCCAATGGTTGATTGTTGCCAAGATCTGCTATATTCTTCATAAATGATGGGAATTTATCACTGCAGTTATGATTACTAAAAATCTGTATAGTTACAAGCGATCGGAATGCAATTCATTTTGCAGACTTCTTTTGGAACCATGCATTTTGTTTTTTCTTTATCCTTGCAGCTCCATTTTGGCTGGTTGGTTATTCTAAATGTTTTGCATGATTGCATGCACGCATGAAAACTTTTCTGAACTCGCCATTCAGCTCTCTGTTCTATTGCTGGCATATATATGCAAAGAGATGAAATTGGAATTTCTGATAGAAGGAACTTGTGTGGATGTTTATTTGGGATGCAGATGTGAAATAAAAAATGTCAAGAACAATTTCAGGAGAGATGTAACATTGCTTTGGTATCTATGTAGAGTGGATTCGTGAATCTTTACAGATGTCCGAATTTTGATGCTTAAGATGTTGCTACTAGTAGACTGTTGAGCTGACGGGCACTGGTTTTGGAATGACTACAACGGAGATGAGAAAGCTATTGGATATGTTCCCGAACTTCAATCCTCTCAAATTTGTAACTGGTATTTTCTTTCTTTTAAAGTAGAGATCTAATCTCACGGAGAGTTTCTAGCCAACTTGAAATTTTTGTTAGCCTTTTTGAAGAAGCATTGTAGCATTGCAAGGCGCGCGTGTAACTATAAACCAATATTATTATCATTTGAGCAGAAAGTTGATATCGGCAATTTTGTCGCCAAGGATGCTGAGCTGCTAACTTGTCCGCACATGATATCTATTTTATTTTTTTCATTTTTTATTTCAATGCAATGCCTGACATTTTACTTATTTTTAGGCATTTATGTTATCTTCACAATGTGCTAAATGCGAATATTCATTTGATTTACGTAATGCTTACATTTACAAGTGCATGTATGCCCCAAAGATTCTATGGTCTGGACCAGTCAAGTTTTATCTCAATCTGTGGGTGGATTGTGCTATGAATTGCTATTGCTAGTTTGTGATTGATCTCTTTGTGCGCTCATATGGTGCTCAAATGTTCTTCCATTTTTAGTTGGCCCAATAGATATTCTTATCGTTTTGAATTATGATGTTATATCAGACCGTCTGAGCTATTATGGTCGAGTGAGGTTATTGATATCTTTCTGTAATGTTCATGGTTTCTGGTCTGGAATGTTGAATTATTCTCCTTCTGCAGTTCATCCCCTGTACGTTATGATTGAAATAAGTACCAGTTTCTCTTTTGTCCTGCTATAGTTATCACTTTGAGAAAGGCAGAAGGCAAATATTGTCTCCTAAATCTCTCACTTGTTGAAAAGCTTATGCATGGATATCGCAAATATACTTGTCCAAGTAGATCATCATCATTTGTTAAATACTTTGTAAGTATGTTTTGAATATATTATATGTTTATTAGTTATGTTATAGTTATCACTCTTAAAACAAGTTCTATAAATATTAAGGGCCCCCGTCGGTTCTTCTCCAAGTAGATTATTATCATGTTTTAGATATGTTTGATATTTATGATTATGTACTAAGTTCAACTGTCTTCCTAGTCAGACTTTATGTTTTTTAGGGATTTATGAAGAGTCCCTTAGTCTATATTGTTAACCCCATGAACATTAATGTACTATTTAGATTAGCTAATCAATGATTTATTGATGAAAACTTATCTTCTTTGTCTTCTAATGGTTAGCTGACTACTTCAGAAGATTTTTGCTCAAGCAGATTTGCACCTCTTGCAACTTGTTGGAAAGTTTCAAATGGGCAATCCAACAAAGACTCGGCAGGTATGCAACAAGTGGATGACTGTTTTATTGTTTTCTAAATTAACTTTTTAGTACAATTTTAAAAAAGCTACTTCATAAAATAATAAGAAAGCCGGTCCAAACGAAACTTTAGATATTGTAGTTTAGGATCTTTTGTTTATTAAATGTTCTTGATTTTAGTTGATAAAGCTTGAACAAATGGCTTGAAAACAAATAAGCTCAATTCTGTTCTCTTCCATCCAGCCATTGATTCCTTCTGTCAAACTAGCCATTAGGAAATTAGCCTATACTACATTGATGACAGATGAACCGTGGACACGTAAGGAGGATAACACGATCATGTTAAAATACATAAAATTAATTGTTTTCTGGCATGTCATGGCTCTTACGTGTTCACATTTAATTTGTCCATGCTATACATATTTTAGCACATGATTTATTTTTCTTTTACTCTACTCACCATGTTCCATTTGCTGCAATTCCAACCAAGTCCAGTAAATTTCTACCAGGTGTCAATCTTTCCATTGAACAGACCCTATTGCAATCTGCCAGCAAGACTTCCTTGGGTCCCACCAAGGTGGGGCCGCCAAAGGTAATTTTTTTCGTTTTAATATTTATTTTAAGATAAATATTAAATATAATATATCATAAATTAATTAAGATTTATATTAAAATCTCACTCAGTCTTCTTATAATAAGGGGGATTTCATGTATACACAGGAAGTTCTTTGTATTTGCATGTCTTATTCTTTAATTTTTATATTTTAATTAAAATATATGCATTAAAACAATTCATAAAAAATTAATCCTAATATATTTTTAATGTAATTTATAAAAGGTTTTTATAAGTAAATAGAAATATTTTAAAATAGTTTTTTAAATTATATATAATTAAGAGATTCAAATATTGTATAAATAAATATAAAAAAATTTATCTAGAAGAAATTTTCATTTGTCAATAAGTCCCCCTTCAGGCCTTCCCCCTCAATAAAATCCTTATTCTTCTACCGGGTCTCTGCAATGGCCGCCCTTTGTGCAGACGCTCATCTGCAAATTCGCCCGGGATTTGCTAATCTATACAAGTCGGCTGAATCTGACGCCGAGTTTGTTCGCTCCTTGATCACCGGAGCCGCAGTCGGCAGCTCTGCCATCAACAACATTAATAGAAGAAGATTGGGGCCAAACCTGGCGCCGGTGGTAGACAGCTACGCCTGCCGGCAGAAGTTTCTGAGAAGCTACACCTTTTCGAAGAAGGAGACGGTTCCCGAGAAGACCGCCAAGTGCTTCGGAAAGGTCAGGCAGAGAGTCGCCGACCTCCCCTGCGTCCATTGCGGAGAGAAATTGAGCGGATTCTCCATGCTGAGCCCCGGGGAGGGCTACAAGACCAAGAAAGTTCCAAAAAAGAGGAAGGGACGCTCAGTGCTGTGGCGTATTTTTCACCGTCTGCTGTCTTGCATGTCAAGCTTCGACGTTGCTGAGGGTAATTCAGTCGTCCATGCTTTGTAGGGTTAGCTTCCTCTGTTGGCTATTGCGCTGGTCTTGGATAAGTTCATGACCTTTGTGTCTGTCTGTGTTGGGTCATGGCTGTTTTGATCTGTATTTAAGTGTACCGTTTGTCGTACATATTTTCACATTTTCTGGATTGCTTGGGATCACTCAGTAGGCTTTGGCCGGCAGGTTTGAAGCATCAGAATTGGGTGGAATTATTCGGACATGGAACGCAATGAGCCATGTCACCTCTTGCTTTTATGTCCGGCTGGATATCGTTGATATGATGCATTCTTATTGATCGTGCCTTTAAAAAATACATGAGATTTTTTTGTTGAATGTTTGGTTTGAAAAAGCGGCGGTATTAGTTGGCGATCGGCGGCAGGTCGTGGTAGGCCGTCTGGGCAGTAGTGGACGGCGGCGACGGCGGATTTGGGGTTAAACTTCTGACTAAATTATATGAATTCCAAAGAAACAAACGACAAATCAAATATTTTAGATGCATATCATTTTAGCACAGAGATTTTAAGCATATTCTAATCAAAATTTTATTAAGATTATTTTGATTTTTTATTTATTTCAAAATAAGTGTAATATATAAATGATTGATTATTTTTTATATTAAAATTATCGTTTTATCTAAATTTTTTAATTTCACATTCAATTGTGATTGAATTCCGGTCAGGGTTTTCTCATAAAAAATTTTGATCAAGGTGAATCTTAAAATTGTTAAATTGTTTTAACATAAATATAGTATTAATATTAATTAAATATTTAAATATTGCATTCATTTAATTTTAAAGTAAAATTTATTAATTTTTAATGATCATATCTCGGGCTTTATTTTGGGCAGTTTATTGTGTTCTCAAGATATTTTTTTAAATTTTTGTAGTAAAAAGTTGTTTTAGAAATTAATAAAAAAATTATCACAAATAAAACTTTAACTTTTTAATTTATTTGTATTGAATGTTTCATATTCTACGAATTGTAGCAGTAAACAAGTAGTAAGAGCAGTTTGAGCATTGAATGCTTCAAATCTAATAAAATTTGGAATTTCTCAATTTTATATTGGAAAATATAAAATTTTCTGATTTTGGAGTTTTCTTTGGTTTCTTCTGTTCAAGTTGTGATGGAGAAGAGCTTTAATTTTAGTGAATTCGTGAAAAGTTTGCAACTTGTTCTTCGTTTATTGGTTAATTGGGGCAATAAATCTAGCAAAGTAAATATGCTTTTTTTTTTTTAAAGAGAGTAATTAAATGAGTTTTAGATTCTACAAGCCATTATTTAGCTTATATTATTAGTTATTTCGTTTTATGCCTAATTTATTTGCAATAAAAAATCTAAAAATTTTAAATAAGAATTTATTTAAAAGATATAGATGTAAATGTTATATCTTTTTATATGCACAGTTAGAGAATTTAAAATAGAAAAACAAAGGATCATATAGATGAAGTGGTTCAACTATAACTGTTTTAATATAATGATTGGACAAGAATTATAACTTTTAAATGACTTTTTTTATTTCAATAATTGCCTATATAAGAATAATTTTAGGTAATATTAAGTTTTACTCAGTGTTAGCTAAGAATTTTAGAACGTAATTGAACATGTATCTATCATTTTTATGTTGAACTAAGTATTGCCTGTGAATCACACCTAATTATATTTAGAATATTCAGTTAACGAAATATAATAGGGGTGTAAACGAGATACACCATTCATCTTGATCTGTTGATTGGAAACTTTGGCTATCAGCCTATCAACCAAGAGGTCTTGGGTTTCTGTCTTGTGTATGTGATGTGTGTGTGAGATTGCCTTAATTGATCTAAATGTCTACAATAGAAAAAATGCAAATGAGTTTAGTTGAGTATCTGCCTAATCGAGCTAAGCTTATTGAGTTGTTATTGAGCTTGAGCTCGAGCTCATTTAATATACAACCTCGAGTATAGACTCGAACTAAAACTTTTGTTTTGATAAGCTCAACTCGTGATCTCGTTAATGAGTTGAGCTCGAGTCAATTCGACTCACTTACACCCCCATAATACATAGATTGAGAAATAGAGAAAGAAGATTAAGAGGTGAAGAACCAATATAATTTATTGATATTTTTTAGATAAGGTTATAAGCATAAATATCTGTTCGCCTAATTTAAAATTAAGAAATAACTTTAAAAATGTAGACATTTTTATTTCTATTTAAAATAGAGCTATTGATAGAACAGATTGTGCATGGCCGGCTCAAGCAAAGCTTTTAATGAGAATAAAAATAAAAGAAAAGGAACAAAATGATTAAAAAAAAACTTTCAAGGCTTTAATTGACTAATGGAATTTTTATTTTTTTTTTATTAATTGATGCGTTTAGGTCTGCCTGTGGCCGTTGGATCAACTCTGAACCCATTTGGAAAATCTGCGTTTTTAATTGTTTTCCCAAACGAAAATCTTGAATCAGCTGATGATAGCTACATCAGATCTGTCAGTTTTTGAAAGAGCATGAACTATTGAACTTTAGTGCAGCATATTAAAAAATATTTTTATTACTTTCAAAATAAATTTAGGCTTCATTTGAGACGGATTTCTTATTGTTTTCTAAAACGGAGTTTTAGTATAAATTTTTTTTTTATTTTTGTACTAAAACTATGTTTTAGAAAGCAATAAAAAAACCGTCCCAAACGAAGCCTTAATTTATTTTAAAATAATTTGTATCAGTGCACCCTGAAATAATTTTATTTAAATTATAACTCTAACACTTTCTAACTTTATTTTCAAAATGCAATAACTTAAAATGCATTTTTATTACATTTTGTTAATAACATTAATAACATTTCCTAATTTTATGTAATAATTTTATTCTAACTTTTATCAAAACTTATCAAATAATAAAAATTTAATAATTAATCATAAAATCTCAAGATTTTTTTTTAAATATGATAAAAATATCATCCTTCATGGCGGAAAATTATTACGTTCGGTGTCCGGATTCGTCCGGACACCAATCCAGATGTGCCACGTCACTCAGATACATCTGGGGCCTAGTGTATCCGAGTGAGACGGTGCATTTGGATTGATGTCCGAACGTCCGATCACCGGATGTAATAATTCGCCCTTCATGGCCCCCAAGCACCTCTTATTTCACCAATATTGTTCATCTAGCTTGTCAAATTGTCCGGATTCGACTACCACACACCTCCACCTTCTAACTCCCTTCCATCCTCTTCTTTAGATATTTTAAAAACTCTTTAAAAATAGCCAATATACATCTTGCCCATAAAATCTTTACTATGTAACAAATTTTCCTAAGCATAAGTTCCTTTTTCGTTTCTATTTTTGTGACCAAACACAAAGATGAAACCTTGTGATTATGTGTTAATTGAAGCACCATTCATATATAATATCACAATTACAAATCGGTATCAAATTCCGACTGTCGGTGAAATACTCGATGAGCTATATGGCCCCAACATATTCTCCAAACTTGATCATTCAATTGGCTACCATCAAGTTCACATGTTTTCCGATGAAGTACGCAAAATTGTCTTTGGTACAAATGAAGGTTATTGTGAATTTCTATGATGCCTTTTAGGCTTTAAAGACACCCTCCATAGATTAGATTTTTACAATCACTATTATTTCAATTTGTGACATGGGAAGTTAATTCCATAGATTTTATTATTCCCCACAGCCACAAATATAGTTTTTATATTCATCTCTAAGGTATATTCCATTATGCAAAATTATTGTTTTAAATCGAGATTATATTTCTATGAGGACTTTCTAGCAATAATTGTTATTTAGGGTTTAGGTATCTTCCATTATGTAAAAGACAAGTAAAGAATGGTTGACCAGTTGTTTAGTGATTCATTTATCTTTATAGGATGGTGGTCTGATGGATTTTCTTTTAAATACTATGGTTTGTTTTTATCTGATACAACAATACAATGATATGATAATTGGAAGCTAAAAGGATTTATTACTATACCGACGGACAAAGAGTGACGACTTTATTTACTGAGCTTATTATAAATTATTGATTACTAATTACTAGAAAATACTATGATAGTCATAACTTATTACTTATTTAGCGTGATTACTAAAATACATGCTATTGAGACATTATTCATAATATTGTACATATTTATTATTATTGTATTATTTTAATGTTCCTACCACCAAACTATTATTATTACTTATATTGGCATTGATATTGTTTTATACTACTGATTCACTATCTTGATACTAAGCATGTGACATATTGAACGCGTAATATATTGATTTGATACTAATATAGAATGTTTTGATAGTATGTGTATACTCCTATATAATTTTATTGCATTGATATAATTTCGATAGTCTTTATCGATACTTTAGTTTTACTGGTTTATAGGATTGCTTTACTTATATATAGTACTAAAACGACAACTATTTTATTGATTCGACACTCATATTGATTTACTGGTTTTTTCATTGTCTGGCTTTTGTACCACACTATTTTACTGCTTTACAGATTTACTATTTCTACACTGATTCAATGATCATTTGATTGTTAATGTTATGATTTGATCGTTAAATTGCATATTGTTTATTTATCATGCTTTGAGTTCAGTTGTAGGTTTTGCTGACCTACTGGATTTTTTAACACACATTTATGTGATTTAAATATTTTCATGTCAAAGCAGAGGATCAGAAGTGTGAGGTTGGTCAAGATTCTTCAAGTTTAATGTTAACTTATTTCTTTCTATCATTAGTTATTCTTTTGTATTTAGAGCATGATAGATATGTTATAATTATATAGATTTGAACAATATACATGATTTTTGGGAAATGAATACAAATGTATATATTGATGTTTTAATTAATAGTTTTATTTTTGTAAGTATTATATTGATAAAAGAATAATTCTCTCAAATTAAATTCTGAAGCATGATATCTTATATTCAAATTGAACTTGAAAATAAAATGTAAAACAAACATGTCAAACCAAACTTATTAATAATATTAGTGAAACCTCATAGATGCTTTAACTAGTTATGAATTCCAAATAAGCTTATCAAATTAAACCAAAACAAATCATTGAACAACATTATCACCAAAGCGAATCAAATCAAATTGAGTTAAAATAAAAAATTTAATTCCTAAAATTTTCTTTATTATACATAAAATCAAATCAAAATTGAACCGAATCAAATCAATCGATTTTTTTTTTTTGATAGATTTAAAACTAAATTTGATAAATTGATTAAATTTCAAACATAAATTAAATTTAACTCGTTTTCAAATAAATTTAATTTTCATTATTCTTACTCACCATAATTGTTTGTATT